AAGATTACTGTATCTGTTTAAAGCAGGGAGAAGCAATGTATTGATTTCCCAGATACCGCTATGCTTTGGGCTCCATCATTTGTCACCATTATCAGGAAGGAAGCTATAACTCAAGAACAAAACTGGCCATCTTTGAAAGAAGTAATATGCCTAAAATATGTTCCCAAGCAAAAATAATTATATTGCCAATATTGGATTTGACGCATCATGGATATGGTTGATCTAAAGATTTTAACTATGTGGCCTCCATTTTCTATGCCATTGTTAGACAAGATGCTTTCTTCTCCCCACCCCCACCCCACCCCCGATCTCCAGTTCTTTAATGATAGCTACTTTATTGCTTGTTTCAGTCACTCAAATTACTTCAACTGCCTCATGTACTGAATAGCAAGAGAGAGCATGGTATAAAATGGAAAGTGCCTGGTATTTTTCTCTCAAGATGAAAACATATCTTCAGCCACTTTTTATATTCAGCATCAAAAATGGTTTACAAAATGAATCACCCCTATAGATCTGACATCAACAGCAAGAACAGCAACATTTCCCCATCTTCCATTTTTGCAGTTTGTTATTTATAAAAGACACCAACATTTCTATGATGCTATTATCACCATGAAATGCTTTCCAAAGGAGGTAGAAGAATAGTGCATTCCTAATAAAAAGTCTGATTCAGAAATAGTTGGGCCTAAAAGTATATTTGGAAGGTGCCCTTCTTATTTTCACGTAAACTCCCTCAGAAAGGTGTACAGCTTGTAGACATATGAGGACTGCCTATATTTAGAAAATTCAGTTAAATGAAGACAAAACATTTCTAAGAAAATATACCCAAAGACAAAATTTGCAAATTAAGAAATAACCCCAAATAATACTCTAAACACTTATACAAGTTTCTTGAAAGCATCAAGCCTCAGTCCCTGCAGGCTTCAGGCCTGGAAGAATCATACATTCCTTTTTAAGACAATGATTAGACCCAAATGTCATTTCTGCTCAACCTACCCAACAGGATTGTTTTAAATCTAAAAAGTGGGGAAGAAGGAGAGGAAATGAGCCAGGTACCATCTCTCTAATAATTGCAAGATAACAGAAAACTGTGTGTGTATAACACTGAGTTTATATACAGCAACAACTCAGGCAATATGGGGGCAATACCTCCATTGTACTATACCATGTAGTGGATGATTTTTCATTAAAAACTAATCTGTAGAAACTGTGCAATATCTGATGCTATTGATGTTATGATGCTGTTATCAATCTGATTTACGTATTTGCAGTTTTACTCTAAACCAGGGATGTTCTAACTGTGTCAACTTTAGGGCTTATGGATTTCAGCTCCCAGAATTCTGGGAACATAAGTCCACAAGTCTTAACCTTGCCAAATTTGGACTCCCCTGCTCTAAATCTTTTTGAGAGCTAACAGCAAAAGGGCAATCATTATCATTATGCATGAAGAAAGCCAAAATGCTTGAGATTTGGGACTTCAGATTTAATGCTAGTACAAACACAAAATAATTTATAAAACTCCAACTGTTTCAAAAATATTTTAATTACATACGCTAACATCTGTTCTCTTAAAAAAGGACTCACATAGATTACATTTTACAATTTCCTTTTTTTTAAGTTAATACATAAAACTTCACAATATGCAAACAACTTTAGTGGTTTCTTCGTATGTTCTCAGAGCATGAGAAATTCAAAATTATATTGCACTGGTAAAGCTAGAACACTGAATTGCCCAAATTGCACCACTAGAAGAAAAAAGTAGCATGAAGAATGTTTGGAAGTTACGGTATACCTGCTGTCCTGAGTACAGAAAAATGCTCATTTTTCTTAAGCTTAAAATTAACGAAATGTTACATAAAGAATCATGTTCTTCATAATAGTTGTTACTGATGACCAAAAAATAAATCAAACCAAAACAAGCCAGGGACAGAGGAATGTTGTCCTCTTGCTTCAATGGCCTTAGAAATACAGCCAATAATGAAAGATGCTACCATCAGCATCAGATGGAATATCAAAAGGTCCTCATCCTTAAAGTAAGCTATGAAAATTCTGGGCTTAAAAGAATGCCAAACGTTCTTTAGATATAAATAGCAATAGCACTCAGACTTATATACCGCTTCACAATGCTTTCCAGCCCCCTCTAAGCGGTTTATAGAGTCAGCATATTGCCCCCAACAATCTGGGTCCTCATTTTACCGACCTCAGAAGGATGGAAGCATAAAACAGATTTAATATTTCAAAGAAAAGCTACAGCATAGTTACTCTTCCTTAACTTTCTTTGTGTAAAAGAATTTTTAAGGAAGGATAATTCAAAATGCAATCCGTATGTAATACAGTTAAGAAAGGATTTTCTTTTGAAAATAGGAGTTTTATCGATGAAGAAAATAAACCTCATGCTATCCAAAGGAATGCACATCAGAAACCCAGATCATGGCAAATGAAATACCTATTGATCAATAATAACTGTTAAATTAATGTTTTTATTTTTATAATGCATAAATATTTTCCTAGATGCAAGGGTGGTATACCAGTCTCTCAGCTTCCATACTCTGTGTGACATGGAACACATTGTCTTTCTACTTTAATATTTACTTATCTTATTATTAATTAATTCTTAATTAAGGCAAGTAGAGAATAACTAAATCTTTTTTAAAAAAATATCTAGCAGGAGCTGCTATATTTGGTCTCAATTTAACATTTCTCAAAAGAAACAAAATCCATCTAGATACATTGGCACATTCTCTGCAAATCCAAAACCACCTTTGCATTTTAAAGGAAAAATTACTTGGGAGAAAGAAATCCTTAGAGATTAATACAGCTACTTTTTAACTATTCCCTCCTCTTTTATTTAGGTCAAAAATACAAAACTGATCTGTGTTTGTAGGACATAATAAACTAAAAATTAGCAATCACATTATAGTCTAATAGGGATATAAAAAAATTCTACCACTGCAAAATGTAATATTCAGCACTTTTGCAGAATGTTCCATGTTCCATTTTTCAGAATGTTTGTGGCATTCTGCATAAAACAGGACAGGATCATATTTGGAAAACCACAAACTGATTCCAGTTCAGAGAATTAACTTTAGGAAAAAATCACTGGAGCATCCCTGGAATGACTAAATCAGCATGGTCCAAAAGAGAAATATTCAATTTCCAGAGGACTAAGAGTTTTGCCTTGTATGTGCCACAGATTTCATTTTGAACCATTTCAAGCATAAAACTTCACAAATGTCCTCATAAATGAGCACTCAAAAATTGTTTTGAGGCTTCTGGAAACTGAGCTGTTTTGAGCTCAACATTTCTTGGAATGTACAAAACCAGTGATTTTGCACTCTATGAGCATACCAAAAACGGCTCAGTCCATAATCTCTTGCACAATATCTGAAGCAAACTGTTATGCGAACCAGCCTACCTGATGAATTAATGGCTCAGTATATTGTGTGGAGCCAGAAAATTGGGTGAAGTAAAATATGGCCTTTATATATATGTCAGTGTTTTTCTACCTCAACTTTAAGATGTGTGGACTTCAACTTCCAGAATTACTCAGGCATTTCCACGTATCTTCAAGGTGATGAGGTTGAGAAACATTGTATATATTATATAAACAGAACTATGTCACCTAAGGAAGAAAATTAATATTTTAATGCATTTTTAATTAAGCAAATATTATGAGATGATCATAGTTATTTAATCAAATGTCAAAGAATTTCCCTTTCAGCAATGACAAAAAAATTTAGAAGTTGGACAGAAAGCAGAAGAATAAGACTATTTAGCATCCCTGAATGAATAAAATAATAATAGAATGGGAGCTCTATAATTCACTGAATTGCGTCACTAGGTGGGTCATCTCTTCAGACTAAAGATTTCTCAATTAGATTTGTTGTTCTTATTATCGCATTCATCCTCATAAAGAGCTGCTTTTATCTGTCAATGTATCTTAGGGAATTCCAGGGAGTCACGCAGATAGAGGTTTTACATAATACCTGATGGAATCATAACATAGCCAACACAAATATATTTGCTACTGATATGATTAAAAGGACTAAGATTTAATTTCTATAATTTTGTTTTTACTGGCATGAAACAATGTTGTATTTTTATTTGAAATAGGTGCCCAAATTTTATGGCCAATGGGTGCAATTTGAATAAAGTCTGTATGTCATAGATGTTCTTGCAAGATGGGTTGGGTAGTACTCACAAAATATTTGCCACAATACATGTGGACAATTACAAAACTCGCCTACGAACCCAAGTATGAGACATAGACCTAGTCTCTGCCAATTATTTCAACTGTTCTCCTCTACAGTACTTATTTCACTAAGGACACACACAGAGCAGGCTTCACCAGAAAGGTAAAACAAGGCAAAGTTGAGCCTCAAACAAGAAATAGGGGTTGTAACCCATTCTATTCCCACATTGGTCTTAGTCTAGATTGCCTCAGATTGGCTAATCCTGATAAGGAAGGGGATTAGAGGGGCAGGGAGACAAAACATAATGCATCTTAATGCCATGAATTCAAGTCCCCAAAACTGGAATTGTATTGTTGTATTCTTCTTCTTTCTATAATAGCTTGCCGCATTAGAACATATAAAATAACAATTTTTTATAGGAATCCCTACATTTAGGTTTTAAACTTTTATCCTGTATTTGAAACATTTAGACATTTACTGAAACACTGAAACAACAATAAGGCACTGTCCTGGCATATCACACAACAAATACTAAAAAAGGAAGTTTGCCTCTGTAGAAGGTTTGCCTTTTGTATTGTCTGAAGTGCTAGCACCAGGCCGGCAGACATACAGTAGTTGTTTATCTTCCACCACATTTAGTATAAAGTGCAGTATCACTGATCCATTTCCCTTTCTTAAAAGCAATTAATACTCCATAATTATCTACTCCATGTCAACTCAAAAGGAAGTCAAATTAGAATTTAAAAATATGTTTAAAATGAACCCAAGTGATCTTTAAAGACCGTCTATTGTAGGCAACATTCAAAAATAAAATCAAATTAGCACTCTTTCTAGAAAGAAATAAGAGTCATCTTCTCTTTAGCTATAAAACCTGCATGCAGGCATGATGAGGCTGGATTGCCACTTCCAGCTAGGTGTCATCTATATAGATGCATATGTGGATGCTGGTGAAGTCTTGCAATCAGTTCTTCCTCCGTTGGTTCTTCCAAAACATCCCTGCAAGAACAAACCAGAATCAATGAAAAATAGCAGAATCAGTGTCTTAGTACAGACATTGTACATATTTTTACACACCAGAAATAACTTCCCTAGGCATTTCAACATTAAAAGCCCCTATAGCATCGTGGGCCGGATGCATCATGCCAAAATCACGCCCACCCCAGCTCCGGCAATGGGGAAAAAGTTGTGATACATCGCGACATGTCACATGACATTGTGAGTTTGACACCCCTGCCCTATACTCTATCATTCATTATTCAATTCCCAATAGATACTTCATATGCAAAACTATATTTTGTTTTATTTTAAAACAGATTTTCTAGCAACTTTGCTAGTATAGTATATAGGTAGTCCTTGACTTACAACAGCTCATTTAGTGACCGTTCGAAGGTACAGCGGCACTGAAAAAAGTAACTTTTGACCATTTTTCACATTTACGACCGTTGCAGCGTCCCCACGGTCACGCGATCAAAATTCAGATGCTTGGCAATTGACTCATATCTATGACGGTTGCACTCTCCCAGGGTCATGTGATCACCTTTTAACAACCTTCTGACAAGCAAAGTCAATGGGGAAGCCAGAATCACTTAACAACCATGTGACTAACTTAACAACTGCAGCGATTCACTTAACAACTGTAGCAAGGTCGTAAAATGGGGCAAAACCCACTTAACAAATGTCTCACTTAGCAACAGAAATGTTTGGCTCAATTGTGGTCGTAAGTCGGGGACTACCTGTAATCAGATAAGAAAAATAGGGCAACATGCTCTAAATTCTGGCACTCTCTGCATGGAGTCCCTGATGCTATTTCTCCTTGCAGTGTTTTAGTCCTGGCAGTAAAGAAAATAACTGTTATTGCTCATTTGCCTCACTCTAGTCCTCGGTTAGTTTCTTTTCTCAATTAAAAATATAAAGCTGCTGCATTGCGGTGCTTGTACCTGAAGAGGAGTTCCACTGTCATTTGATATTCAACTTCTGAGAGAGATGGCCTATGGCAGCGACGATCCCATTTATGAATAAAATTCTGCAATTTAAGGAAACCAATACCATTTTAAGAGAGAGACGCCTCTTACTCAATTCACTTGCAATAGGTTTAAAAAATTCAAGGCACGCAGCCAATTCATGTGATTAGCATATAATTAGGCATGGCTACTTGTGGAAGTCACAGTAACAAAAACTATAACTGTGTTGAAATTCGGATGTTTAAAAAAGAGAAGATTGCATTCTATAAGGTTTAAGGAAAGCTGCTGCACAAATTTCTACGGACAGCGTACTTGCTTTCTTTATTAACAATTCAAAGAAAAGTATCTGACAAATCAACTCGAAGTTGCCCAACCTAAGGTACTCCAGGTAAGTATCATCAACAGTAATATGCAAGACGTCTGAGACCTAACATTAAAGTCATGTGTTTGTGCAAAAGGTGCCTCCATGGAAAGTCATGCACTTTCAACCCTAGTAACCCAACCTAAAAAATAAAATTTCCAGAAAACCTAGTACTATATAGGCTGTCCATCCTAGTGTGACATCAGGAGATTTGCTACTCCATGTGAAACCATCCATAAATGCGATTTGCTACTCCAAGTGAAACCACCCGTAAATGCTCATGTGTTCTTGAAGCCTATTGCTTTGGATGACCAGTCAAGCCTTACCTCTAAAAGCAAGGCTATAAAAAGGTTGACCCAGATGACAGAGGAAGTCAACCACCAGGTGACAAAGTACAATTTTGACCAGCTGCAAAAGAAAAAAAAAAGAATAAAATCAAGTCATGCCTATTATTACAATTCCAGTCTTAGAATTCCCTGCACTGTGTGACCTGTAGCACACCACACATTTCCTGTGTGGTATTCTTTCCAGTTCCTTTTACAAATTACAAAGTTGGATATCCTTGTATTCTCATAGATGAATTATTCCTGCCACTTAAATCTTTCTTGTGGCCTTTTAGCATTTTTGCTGGCTCTAGAATTTTCTTGGGTGATTTTTCTTTTTTTCTTTTTCCTTTTTGCCCTAGATACCCCCTGGATACACTCTAAATCCACTCTACTGCTTGTCCCAAAGGTGCTTTTTCCAAAAGGCAATTGGACTTTCTTGGTTTTGTTTCCTTTCAAAATGTTTCACTTCTCATCCAAGACGTTCTGAAGAACTGAAGTTTCTTGGATGAGAAGCAAAATGTTTTCAAGGGGGAAAAAAACCAAGAAAGTCCTATTGCTTTTTGGAAAAAATACCTTTGGGACAACCATGACTTAGATCCGGGGTCTTCAAACTTGGCAACTTTAAGACTTGTGGACTTCAACTCCCAGAATTCCTCAGCCAGTCCTGGCTGGCTGAGGAATTTTGGGAGTTGAAGTCCACAAGTCTTAAAGTTGCCAAGTAGGAAGACTCCTGACTTAGATGACTGAAAATCTCCATACTCTATTGCTCATATGTTCTAATCTAATTAAGGCTGTTACCAGTTCTAGATTTTTTGCAGTTTATGTATCATAACTAGCTTTTTTAAAAATATATCCTCTGTATCCCTCTTGCTATACTAGCTTGTTATTGCTGATTCCTGCCTTATCCTGGCAGTGCTCCAGAACAGGCAACCAACTTGTTCCCACTCTATTTTTCATTTTGTCTGAGAGCATAAAACTAATAGAAGAGAATATTTATCAGTCAGAGTTCAACTGTGGGGTCCTTGGCTGGGAGCTTGGCTGTTATTTTGCAGACATTTCATTACTCAACAGGATAACATCTTCAGTAGTAGGAGAGAGGGGTTTGCTGAGCATCAAGGACCACACACTGTAAAACTATCTACAATGATGAGAGAGTCTGCCATGTAGTAGGGATCCTGGTTTTGTTGCTTCTGCATAGACCAGGGGTAGGCAAACTTGGCTCTTTTATGACTCGTGGACTTCAACTCCCAGAATTCCTGAGCCAGCCAAGCTGGCTCAGGAATTCTTTGAGTTGAAGTCCACGAGTCATAAAAGAGCCAAGGTTGCCTACCCCTGGCATAGGCCAAGGAAGCAACAAAACAGAGTGTATGGTAAGAGATAAACCGCATATATTTTTTTTAAAAAAAATTGGAGACCTGCCTGATAAGATTTGAGAAGTCCATATCTGAATTAGGTTATCAAATGCATTGCAAAAAAAAAAAAAAAGCATTTGTTCATTACTCACGGAGATAAATATCTGGAATATGCATCCAAGAAAACTTGCCAGTTGTTCACAACCATCACATCCCACAAAATCACTAGAGATGCCTATATTATGGATAAGAAAAGTAGTTGAAATGTACATTAACCTATTATGAGAGTTTCATAATATATAAGAGAAAATTTGGAGCTACCAAACAAACAAACTAGTAATTAAAGCAACTATTTAATACACGTCGAGTAATACTCACAGCAAAATCATCAAAGTTGTTTGGCCAATACTCCAGTTGTTCAAACGTGCCACACTGCAAAGTTGTATTACTTACAAGGCTATAATGGAATAACAAATAACTGGAAGTTATTTCATCACCGTATGCACAGTGGCACTGCACAGATCAAATGTTAAATTAGCTGATTCTTTTACCATAAATATACTTTTAGATTTCTTACAAAGAAGAGAAAAATTAAGCCTGGAGATTTTAAATCTCTTAAAATGTAGACAGGGGGAAAAAAGAATAAGATGCTTCAAAGTTAAAAGAATATAGCAAGGAAGATAAACAGTCAGCCAGATGTTGCAGCAGAAGCACTAACTTTAAATTCAAGAAATATAGATATTTCTCAACTTACACCTCCAAATGGGACTGGAATTTCTGTTGTTGTAAGTTGAGTTGCCCCAATTTTTATGATGGTGGTTAAACAAATCATGGAGTTGTTAAGTGGATGCAGCTTCCCCAATGGACATTTTTTGCCGAAAATTGGCAGAAAAAGGTCACAAATCACAATCACCTGATTGCAGGATGCTGCAACTGGTCGTAAAGGCAAGCCATTGTTAAATGCCTGAACTGAGATCACAGGACTGCGAGGGCAGTGTGAGGATTGCAAGTGCAAATACAGATCATAACTCATTCCCCCCCCCCCCGAGGCCATCTCAATCATTGCTCAGTGAACAGTTGTAAGTCAAGGACTACCTGTAGTGTTAGCGGGGACTTAAACTAGGAATCATTCAGTCCAGAATCCTTTTCTCTGCAAGGACTCCATCTCTTAAAAGAAGATACCCAAATTCAGTGATTTTTCTTCATTGTGATGAAATTACAACCAGGGTTTTACAAAGCTTGACTTTTCAAGCACAGTTGAATCTTATAAACCCTATTGTTAAAAGAATCTTCTCACAAGAGAGCAAACTGGCTCACGATAGCTCTAAATTCTTCTTATTTGCATGCTTTCAAAGAAAGAGTGCCTGGACTGAAAAATCCCTATATTTGGACTCATATAACCAGCAGGCCAGAAACATATCAATTAGTAACGCAGACCTCATGTTGGAGTTTTGAAGTAAGCCCAGTGCAAAACTGAGGGTTATTCTTGCACCTCTGGTTCAAATAAGAGTAAAATGTGGCGTCTAGGCCAGGGGTAGGCAACCTTGGCTCGTTTATGACTCGTGGACTTCAACTCCCAGAATTCCTGAGCCAGTCATAAAAGAGCCAAGGTTGCCTACCCCTGGTCTAGGCCATGCCACACTTCCAAAATACTTTCCAAAGCTCAGCACTATAGAGAAGTTAATCTTCTTACCCTATGAAATATTTGGGATTAAGGAGGAACTTCCTGCCAATGTTTTTTTTCCTGCTGTCCATCACACTAGTCCTGGTGATGGCTCAACAAACAAATAACCTCTGCTAATGTGCCACCTTTCTCCCTCTAACAAGCTAGATAAGGAGGAGATGCAAAAGATAAAGGGCAAGAGCAGCACACGCACTGAAAAGGGAAGCAGAGGGAGGAGGGTCACATGTTCAAGAGGCAGTAGAGAAGAGCAGCTGTACAAATCCACATTGGTAGATGGGGGGAAAAGGTTTAACACAGTGATGGCGAACCTTTTAGAGACCGAGTGCTCAAACCGCAACCCCAAACCCATTTATTTATCGTAAAATGCCAGGGCCGCATCAGCATTGTGGTGCTCTCAAGGGGGCTGGGGGGGCGTGGCCCACTGGATGGGCGTGGCTGCGGTGATCATGGCAGACTGAATGGGTGTGGAGGGGCATGGCCACCTTGATGTTGCTTGGGGGGGACACCTGTGCAGGCTGGGCAGGATTGGGGGAGATCCAGAGGGTCTCTGCTGGATGGGGCGGTAGGCAGGAGGCTCATCCTGTGGGATGAGGCGGGGGTAGGGTGGGGTGCCATTGCTGTGGGGCAAGGCAAAGCAGGGGCGGCTGCTGCCTGACACCATCAGCCCCCGCACAAAGAGGCCAGCGAGCATATGGGGGCATGCTCTACCACCTCTACTCGAGCTTGCTAACCAGCTGCTTCACCTCCTTTGTGCTGGGTGGGGCTGCCGCTCCGGGTGCTAGCGGTGGCCTAATGGACCTGCGCAAGCTGGCGGCAGCGGTGGCAAGTGTGCCCACAGAGAGGGCTCTGAGTGCCGCCTCTGGCACGTGTGCCATAGGTTCGCCATCACTGGTTTAACATATCAGATAGGCTGGCAGACTGGCAGTGATGTGCGGTGGACAGTTTTCCAAAGTAGAAAACTGTCTTCTAAGTTTATTTATAATGACGGGTAGACCACCAGTTGCAAATACGGTACATATAGTCCTCAACCTGTGATCACAATTGAGCCCAAAATTGCTGTTGCTAAGTGAGACAGTTGTTACAAGTGAGTTTTGCCCCATTTTACAACCTTTGTGCCACAGTTGTTAAGGGAATCACTGCAGTTGTTAAGTTAGTCACATGGCTGTTAAGTGAATCTGGCTTCCTCAGTGACTTTGCTTGTCAACGGTCACAAAAGGTGATCACATGACCCTGGGACACTGCAACTGTCATAAATATGAGTCAGTTGCCAAGCGACTGAATTTTGAGCAGGTGATCATGGGGATAGCTACAATGCTCATAAAGTGTGAAAAACACTCATAAGTCACTTTTTTCAATGTCGTTGTAACTTCGAACAGTCACTAAATGAACTATTGTAAGTCGAGGACTATGTGTATTATAGAAATTTGACATTTTCCAAATTTGATATTTTCCAAAGTGCCTGAAGGCAGGACAAGAAGCAACAGATGGAAACTAAGCAAGGAGAGAAGCAACCTAGAACTAAGGAGAAATTTCCTGATAGTTAGAACAATTAACCAGTGGAACAACCTGCCTCCAGAAGCAGTGAATGTTCCAATACTGGAAGAGATTGGACAGCCATTTAAAGAAGAGATTGGACAGCCATTTGTCTGAAATGGTATAGGAAGAGATTTGGACAGCCATTTAAAGAAGAGATTGGACAGCCATTTGTCTGAAATGGTATAGGGTTACCTGCCTGAGCAGGGGGTTGGACTTGATGATCTCCAAGGTCCCTTCCAACTTTATTATTATTATTATTATTATTATTATTATTATTATTATTGCTTCCAACTTTAATCAGTGCTTTATGGATAATTATTCCTAGAGGCAGTATAGATATATACAATCACATCTGGTATGATTTTAATTTTAAAAAATCCCTCTCTCTCTCTGTAGCCTTATACGGGTAGTTCTCGGTGTAGAACCATTTGTTTAACAGCCATTCAAAGTTACAACAGCACTGAAAAAAGGTGATTTACATACTCATATTCATCACCATTGCACCGTCCCCATGGTCACATGATCAACATCTCGGTGTTTGGCAACTGGCATTTATTGATGACAGTTGCTATGTCACAGGGTCATGTGATCACCATTTGCACTCTTCCCAGCTGGTTTCAACAAGCTACGCTAAGGGGGAAAGCCAGGTTCCCTTAATGACTATGATTCACTTAACAACCAAGATAATTCATTTAGGAACTGTGACAAAAAAAATTGTAAAAT